GGGAAAAAGGGGGGGGGGGGGAAGGGGGGTGGTGGTGACTTTCTAAGAGGTTTTTCTTTTACTGAAAGAGCAGGAAGAGAAGTCCAGAGCCCAGCCGCAGCCCTCGCTCACCCCGGCTGCTGGGAAGGGGGTGCTCCCACCAGCCCAGAGCTACGTTCACTTGCTCCTGCCGACTCCTTCCGCGCGTCCCTGCACTGGAGGAAGCAACGCTGACAGCGAGGGGCCGGAAGACAAAGCCACGCTCAGCTCCGGGGAACACGTCCCAGTGGATGTTCGAGACTGTGGCTCTGCGGAGACTCGTTAGACCCCGTCTGTGCTGCAGCCGGCAACGTTCGTTAGACCTGAACTCGCTGGAGTCCCCACGGAGGAAAGGAGGACGTGGAGGCACCTCCCGTGGGCTGCTCCCCCGGCAGCGAGGCAGGTCCTTCGCGAGGGCACCGTACAATTGCGGAGAGAAGACGCAAGAGCAGCTGCCGGTGCTGGAAAAGCAACCAAAGCTGTCGGGCTGAACGCATCCGCTGCGAGGAACGGCTCCGGCCAGCTCGCCTCAGCTTCAAGCAAAAGGAAGGCAATGCTGAAAATAAAGTCTGTCGTAAAGAGAAGCTGCAGCAAGGAGGTTTCCAAGCAAGTAGAGGTCTCCCAAAAGAACAGCGAAAAGAGAGAGTCTTGAGAAACTAAGGAGAAATCCCCCAAGCCCTGTGCCAGCAGGCCCCACGTCTCTCCGTAAACACCCTCCCAGCACAACAGGGTCCTTCGGGCGAGCGCTTCACCCTGTGGGCAGAGGCCGCAGGGACCCTCCCAGACACAGCGGCACTTGGGAGAGGCTCTTCTGAGAAAGCAGAGAGGGACAGGAGAAAGGGGCGGGGGGGGCTGTGACAGCACCAGCACGGCGGGACCGGAGGGCCCGCGGGGGTCCGACGCTGCGGAAGGGACCAGCCCACAGCACGGTCCTTGTGCTGGTCCCGGCGATGCGGCTTAAGGAGCAGCAGGTCGCGGAGCAGATGCAGGTTTTATCCTCCTGGAGCCCCAGCTCCGTGGACGCCTCCGAGACCGCCGGCTCGGCACCGAGGGATGGACCGGGGAGGTCCCGACAAGGGGGCAGAGGAGCTCGGGCGGAACCTCCCCATCCCCTTGCACAACTGATCACACGCGCTTGTGCGAAACACTTGGGAACTAGACCTTTGGATTAACTGTTTAATACACTTGTGCACATGTGCGTATAGCAAAGAGGCAACTGTGAATCATAAGGCTATTGAGACATCGGCAGGTTCTGGGAAGAGCAAAGGCCCCGCGGGGGGCCTGGGTGAACCGGGCACCCCCCGTTTCTCTGCTTCTTTTTGTCCCTGTTCAATACACAAAACCCACACAGAGGAGGGGGAACGGCCTCTTTCGCCCTCGTTCGCTCGGCTCACACACGAGAGAGCTGCCAGCCAGGGCAAGAGAAAACAAGAGCAAGTCCCGGAGCTCCCTCCTGCCTGACGCAGAGGAGGGAGGGAGAATCCAGCGCCGGGAAACGCTTCGGTTCTCCCCTGCTCAGCTCGTTTGCTTTCACTCGATGCGAGAGTCGCTGTGAAGGTGGAGGCGGCGACGCATCCAGCTGTCCCAGCGCCGCGTGCCGGGGCAGATCCACGCACCCGCTTTCCTGAGCTGCGCTAGATTTTAGGGGAGTCGCAGCCTGCCAATGACAAGGGCTTTTAGTGAAAGGGACGATCGGTTGAGTCTCCATATATTAGTTATTCACGCACACGCAGGGAGGTGGGTCATTCTAGTTTTCATTTATATCCATATATAAAGTGTACGTTGCCCTGCACATATTTTATATATCATATATATATATCATATATATATATATATAAAATTTTAAAAACCCTCCACAAGCCCAAGCTAGGAAATCTCAAATCCCCAGGAGGGCTGTCCTCTCGCGCCTGTCCAAGGACCAGGAGAGGGGCATCGCATCGAGTCTATGGAAACATTCACGTTACGCTCCCTCGCCCTACCTCTGCCTACCGCACAACGGGCTCAGTCAGCGCCCTGAGTGCCTTCCTCAGTCCCACTCTGCCCCAAGGCTCCTATGCTCAGTTCTCCCAGGCTCTCCGCAGGATCCGTGCTGTGCGTCGGCTTTCCTGAGTGAAGGCAATCCTCAGCCAGGCGCTGCTCTGCCGGAGCACCTCCCGCCGCCGCCTCGGAGCCGTCCCGAGATGGGTCCCTCAAAGGCTCCAACAGGTCCGTGTCTGCCCGGGGCGCGTGGGCACACAGGTCCTGCACCTTCTTATTGAGGTCGTTGCGCTCCGTTTGCAGGGCTCGGCACAGTTTCTCCAAGCGCTGGATTTTCACCTGAAGCCCCTCTAACTCTTTGTCCCGAAGGGTTTTCTGCAAACAGAGAGGCAGCTCAGACTCTACCACACCGGGGGCAGAGAGAGATGAAACCTCGAAGGGAAGCTCAAGGGGAAAATACTTGTGACCAAGCAAACATTTGGCATTCGAAGAACCTGATGCTATCGTCACTGCTTCTTTCTTCCTTTGCCCCCGCAAGGGCCAAGTGCCGCTGAGACTGTCTGACTTCTTCCACACACCTCCGCACTAATTAACCAGCACTTCTGCCACGTGCCAGAGGGCTCCGACCACCGTGTACAGGGAAGGAAATCACGACACGCCCCCCCCCCCCCCCCCCGCCCCCAGCCTGCCTGCAGTAAGGCAGGAGCTGTCCTGCTATCCCTCATCTCCAGCCCAACGCCACGCAACACATCGCCGCGCCGCTCCAGCTGCCTGCCTCCGCACACAACAGCCGGGGCCTCCTCACCTCTTCAGCCATTTCCAAGAGGGCCTTGTTGCTGCTCTCCCAGCGAGAGCGGTACATCGTGGTCTCTTTCTCCAGCTTCTTGATTTTCTTAGTCATCTACAGAATCACGGTGACAGAAAGGGAACAGATAAGCCACAGGCAAAGCGCTGCAGTCAGTTACATCTCACACGTCCTCAAAGGGGCACCCACTATCCCAGCGCAGACAGCGAGGGTCTGCCGTCCCGGGAAACGTCTCCTTGTGTCGCTGTGCGGTCAGCTTCTCCGTTGGGAAACGCTGACCAGGTGACAACAAACCACGAGACGGGGGTAGCGCCGCTTGTTCCGACACAAGCGGGGCACAGCAAGGATGGTATCAATCTCCTACGAGCAGCCGGCTCGCGGCTGGTTTTAATACCAGCAAAACGAAACAAAACTACAGAGCTGCGGCTCTTCCAGCTCGCAGAAGCATCGAGGAGAGACAGGCAGGCAGCGCCTCCAGCCCACGCAAGCTCTGCTGGGCGGCAAAAGTGTTACCCACCTTCTCCATCTCCTGTTTAAACGTCGTGAACACTTCACTGCTTTTGGAAAGGGTGTTCTGGAATTCTTCAAACTTCTCCGTGTAGAGAGCCAGCTGCGGGGAGAGACAGGGTTACAGCTCCCCACGGCACCTCCTGACAGCCTTCCCCAGGAGAGGGGAGACGTCAGCCAAGAACCGAGCGAGTTATCTTGCGACTGGACTTTATGGCAAACAAACTAGCAGCACGGAGCTGCTCTGCCAACGTTAGGTACCGGGGAATGCGGAAAAACTCTTTCCTAGGGAAACACCTTCAGATGTGTTCTGCAAACATCTCCTGGCCTCGGCAGGAGGCACTCGCTGGGTTTGATTCAGCAAGGTATGATCACACGAGCGCTCCCAGCACTGGGAAATGCGCTGGTAAAAACCAAGGCCCCTTTCTCCCAGAAGGCAGAATTGCTGAAGGAAGTCTCAGCTCACACCGTGCTGACACAGGCTCGCCAATACCAAACCCAGGAGCAATCCTGCCCCTGTGTTTTCCAGATTAAGGAACTTTGGGTTGTTCCCTGCTTAGGGAGGAAGGAAAAAAAAAAAAACCCCAACAAATAACCAGGCTGAGCACACAGACCGGGTGACTCACCTGCTGCTTGAGATGGGTCTCCTGCTGCTTCATCAGCTCACACATCCTCTGCGATTCCACGGCTTCCTTCAGCAGCTAAGGAAGAGCAAAAGCAGTTACCTGGCTGCCACCGGGGAAGGCTCTCAACGTGCCCCTGCGCGGCCGGCGCTTGGCCTGGAGATGGGAGCGGGCTGGGAGAAACACAAAGAGCAGAGCAGGGCTCCAGCCTTGCTCCTGAAGCCGCTGGGCGAGCGGTCACTGCTGGGCACGCCGGAGGCCTGGGATGGCCTGACCTGGTCTGGGCTCTGCACTCAGGGATCCAACAGCAACAAGCCTCCGCAGAGGGACAAGGCAAAAAGCGAAGTGCCCGCAACCATTAGAGAATCGCTGTAAGACTTACAAAGTCCTTCTCCCGCTGGTGTCTCTCCTCTGCCTCCTTCAGCATTTCCTGCGCCTGCTGGAGCTTGGCGTCCACCAGCTGCTGCTGCAGGTCCTTGTGTTTGAACACCTTATCGATGTGCTGCCAAGGGAACGCCACCAGTCACCGACACACTCAGCCCAGTCCTTGCTGCCCGGGCAAAGGAAGATCCCAGAGCCCAAAGGCCCCTTCTCCCCTCCAGCAGCAGAAACACGCTTCACTGGGCAGAATGGATGTACCACAGCAGCCCCACACCAGGTCTCCCACCCTGACCCACCTCCTCCCGCAGCTCGTACTGCTCGATGAGCTTCTTGAGCTGCTCTGCCAGCTCCATGTTCTCCTGGCGCAGCTTGGAGTTCCTCTCGTTGTGCTGCTCCATCTGGAGCTGGATGTCGTTCAGCGTCACCTGGAAGTGAGATGTCACCTCCTTCCGCTTCTCCTCTTCCTCCCGCGCACGCTGGACACCTTCCTCCTGTGTGAGGAGGGCAGAGACAGCAGGGACACGTCATCCTCTGTGCTGGGCAGGTGAGCAAAGCCACCCAGCCTCCCGCTATCGCTTATGTCAATCAGGAAGGGACTTTGGGCCGCTGCCTGACAGCCCCCTTCGGGCCTTTCCCCTCCCTTTCTCCAGTGAACATACCCTGAAATAACACTCAGGCACGGTGGATAACGATGGCTTAACAGTAAAATTAAAGCACTGCCCTGGACAGGAGACTGCGGGCAATCACCGGTAAAGGTAACTTTGCCAAAATGGCTCACAGCAAGTGATCCAAGTGCTTGGGATGAAGCAGCTCCTGGAAGAGTGCCCAGGAGACACTTGCCTTGAGGGTGCGGTTGTGTCTCTGGAGCTCGCGGCACAGGCTCTCCAGCTTGCTGCGGGCCAGGATGGCCTTGCTGTGCTCGCTCTGCAGGTGGTCCTTCTCTTGCACCAGCTGCGTCTGCTTCTTCTGCAAGATCTTCATCTGTTTCTGGGAGTTACGGTGCTCTTCCAGCTGGGACGGGGGAGCAAAGGGCACAGATGCAGCAAAACAGACCAGGGCAATATGCCATGCCCCTGTGAGGGGACAGGGGGATCGAAACAGCGCTCTCCCTGCTCTGAGAGGAGGACAAGAGGTTTATAATACAAAAGATGCCACTTTTGAGCAGAGCAGGACTGACGCAGAGCCCAAGATGCCCTGGACAGGGCCTTTCTCCTTCCTGAATTCGCGTCCTGCTGGAATCCGAAAGAATTGCACGTTCATCCAGCACCTCCACACGCATGTTGCTCAAATGGAGCAGAGCTCTGAGCACAGGGAAAACCTGAACACGTCCACTTTGGACACGCACAGACAGTCCCACACCTCTGCTCTGCACTGGATCCACGCACAGAACTAGAGCCGTGCCTGGAACTCCTAGCTCTGGTTAAACGTGGCATCAGACTTTGCGTGCGTTGTACGGCTGAATGCGCACACGTAGCAGCATGGGGACTCTGCCAAACGCACGTTTCTTGCTAGGAAATTATCAACAGAAATGCAGTGACTGGGTGGTGGAGACCGGAGACGTATCCGTGCGGTCCTCTGTCGCAGCTGGGCCTGCCAACTCACAGCTCAGCCCTGCCTGCAGAGAGATCAGGACACGCAGGCTCAGCGGAACAGACTCGGCCCCAGCACACTCCTGGGACAGGATGGGCAAGAGATGCAGCTTCCACGTTAGAGGAGCAGAGAGAAAACAGATCTGAAGTCCTCTTACACGCAGGTTTGCCAAAAAAAACCCCCGTCCGTGCTTACGCTTCTGCAAACAACAACGCCTGGCTGGACCAAGCGACACCTGTCCTCTGATATTTGGATATCCAGCACCGCAGGGATCCCAGAACATACACCGCAAAGCTACGCGTACGTTCCTGGGCTGTCCCTCTTGACATCAAGAAAAAAAAAAATAAATAAATCTACAGCCACCTTCTGCCTCGTCAAGCAGCTCCCGTGCCGCTCACTGCTGCGGTGTCGTCCTCCCCCGGCCCCAGAGCCCGGAACGAAGAAATAAGCACTCACCAGCTCAGCGTATTTCTTGCACAGTGCTGCTAGCTTCTCCTCTGGCGTGCTCAGGGTGTTCAGCGTCTGCATCAGCAAAGTGATTTCTTTGCCTGGAACGAGACACAGAATTAAAATAAATAAATAAAGTCAAATAAAATCACTTACACGGAGTTCTGGCTCATAAGGGCAAAGACAGGAGAGACAAACCGCGTCTCACAGCCGTGCCTGCCCTGGGCCAGAGCTACCATCTCCAGTGCCTCCTCAGGGCTCTGCCCCAGAGATTTCACCGCATACAGTGGGTGAACAACTGAAGCAGCTGGGGAGAGACCTGGTTTTCAGAGCGGGAAACCACCACTGAGCTGGCCAGAGAGAGTTGTGTCCGGCAGAAGAGAAATCCACAGAGTTCAGAGGCTGCAGCAGCAGCCAGGAGCAGTCAGGGCCTTTGCAACACTCGGTACGTTTCCTCACGTACCACAAAACAAGACACCCTATCGTTTCCAAATACCGCCGCGCATCTCACGCCCAAGGCGCTTATTTCACTGAGGGCAATTAGTGCGGTATAAAATCGATGTCTGCACCGAAGTTCTCAGGCTGGCAGCACAACCAGAGCAGGGAACTTCTTACCTAGGCCCTTAGCTTTCTTCTTTTCCTGAGCCTTCTTCTGATCCCGCTCCCCACACTCCTCGCCGGGTCGAAACTCTTCAGTCCCCTTCGTGCTTTCCTTCTCCCCGTTCATCTCGGGGCCGCCCGACTCCTGGTCACCGTTCCTCGGGGACTCGCTACGACACTTCTCGGCTTCTTCCGGCTCCGCGGGCTCACTCTGCCCGCCGTCCTCGCCTGGACCCTCCTGGCTGGCATCCACACAGTATGTGTTCAAGATGTCCTCAAGCTGTCTGCTTAGCTCTTCGGAGACGTCACGCACGGCAGGCCGGGAGGACTTGGTGTCCTCCTGCGCAGGAGGAGCTGTGGGAGACGGGAACACAAAAGCATGAGACTTCCCCCACACCGTCCATTCTCTGGTCTCTATAAACACACGGCAAAGGGAAGGTTTCCCGAGCACCCCACTGCACCAGGGCTGGCTGAACTTCCACCAACATAAGCCGCTTTGTTCCGGCTGTGTCTCCAGCCAGCTGCCCTGACAATGGAGGTGCATTCCTAACAGCCTCTCTTTTGATCACGAGAGCATGACCGAGCCCCTGACATCTGTCAAGAGCAAAAATTCCACCCCCCCTCCCCACCATCCTTCAACGAAAGCAGGTTGTGCGTGAGCTTTCCCTCACAGGAACTGCCTGCTAATATCCCCAGAGCCAGGCTTTTTTACATTACAATAGATTTTTGAACCTGGGTGAGCCGCTCTCCTCACACGTAAGAGCAGCTGTACTGTCTCAGATCAAACGTATCTTGTCCCCAACAGCAGACACTCGGGGAAAGAGCAGGCAGCACATCCTTCGGTACGCGTCTTTGCTTCCAAAGTTCCTCCAAACGAGGGACTTAGAGCAGCTGGTTATTAAACTATAACTCTACTCGCTGTGCATTTGCTACGTCCCACATTTACTAGGCATCAGAATACGAGGCAGGGTTAATTTTAACCAAGCACCTACTCGATTAGACCTGGTTTTCGTCTTCCAGAGAGTTGTTTTTATGAAGCGCCAGTAACAGGGCAGGTCACTCAACGTAACGCTGCCCCAAGGAAAGAGTCGTCTGACATTTTCTGAATGGGACCCTTAAGGTCTAAGCAACGATAAACCACCCATCGTTTTCAGGCGAGAATCAACTCCACGCTTCGGTCAGGGAGCGGTAACTACTTCAGAACTGTACACACGCAGAAGAAGGAAGAAACCAGGATTTTCTGCCCCGGAAATCACAGCTGCTCTTACACAAGTCAGAAGAGCTGGATACAGCGGCCCACCCTCATACAGAGAAAGCACCAGCCTGACTCTTCCCAGGCCCGAAACCCACCCTCACGCGCCTCCTGCGCCTCGCTGCTCGGGCTGTCAGCATCGCCATCGGCCGCGGGCAGGGAGCGGCGCACCCCAGGCCCCGGGGGATCCCCACCTTCCAGGGGTGCTGCGGCCTCCGGCGAGTCGCCTTCCTCCAGCGCCAGACCGCTGCTCATTTTGGAAGAGCTAGCAGGCCGCGGGGCTGCTTTGGTCTCCCCGCCTTGGTTCTTCATCGTGACTTTTCTCCCCGCTCAGTCTCAGCAAACCCTAGAGAAAGAGAAACAGCAACTACGCTTAATTTTAAGAAGTAACAGTTTGGGGGATTTTAGGAGTCATCAACCTGGACCGGGTAGGAACTTGTTCTCGGCAGAGGCTGCCACCCGCAGCTCCGCGCTGAGGAAAAGCATCCTTTCGTTTTCAATTTGCACCTCGCCGCAAAGGTCTCCGTATCAGGACGACTCCTCTTCCAGCTGAGGAGAGCTGGCAGCAGCCCCTCCCAGGGCCGGGCGGCATCTCCCGACTCACAGACGGCAGGCAGTTTTCCTGATCCGCTGGGCACGGCCTTCTCAGCCCTGGCTGTCCTTCCCCCTCGCCCCCGCTGTGTTTTACCCTTGGATTTCAAAACTCGGAGCGGTCCGCGCGCGCTGACGGAGAAACCCCCTCCCTGCGGCGGGGGACCCGGAGACCAGAGCCTCAGCAGCAGAGAGGTCAACACCGCACAGCCGGCTGAGGAAAGCCCGCGGCTCCCCGGCAGAGCTGGTGCTCAGCGCTGAAAAGATTAACCAGCGTCGCCATGAGCCGACGCTAACGGACCGAGCCCGAATCCTGGCTCCTCTCTCCTCGTCCTCTCTCCCTCCGCAGGGTACGTATGTTCTCACCCTGCCCACCCGCACCCTCTGCTCTAGTTATGACGCTAATTAGGAGCGGCCCACACAGGGCTCGCGGAGGAAAAACGCAAGAGAAAACCAGCAGCGGCAGCAGCCAAGCAGCGTGTGTCATCCATCCACCCCCGTGCGGGCGGGAGGCCGGGCTCCCTCCCACGGCGGGCCCGGCAGCACGGCTTCACGCCGCGCACATGCCCCGGAGCCTCGGGCGCTCTTTTTTCCTCCGCTGCTGTAAATAGCTCCAGCCCCGTGCGCTTCCCCGGGCTCCGGCGGGCGATAACCG